CCTCTGAGGTCCCTTCCAACCTTAAGCATTCTGTGATTCTATGATTCTGTGCACAGCTGCCACTACAGTCCCAGGGAGCCAGGCTTTGATCATGTGCATTTCTATTAGAAATGGTAGGAATTTCAGCCTGGATACCTGAAATGAGCACTCTTGTCCTTAACCTCTTTGTATAGCACTATAAAAGCACTAAGCCATCATCACTGATAGCATATAAATGCTTAGTGTTTGTTCTGTAGGCAGTTTCAGATGACAATCCTATGGAAAAACAGTGTGATCATGTAATTATAGTCTTTACTATAAAGCCTCTATGTCRTAACTCTTTCCTCTAGAGACACAGACTGAATGCACAATTTGTCTTTTCAAAAAAAAGATGTATTTAAAATTAAATGCACAACTGGGCCATTTTGCCAGTGTAAAKTCACTGTACTCAAGCTCTCTTGATGAAAACAAAAAGTATTAAAGTAAAACCGAGAATAAAATAGTTATTTATATGAGGATTTTTGTTTCCTGGTTTAAGTCACATTTAAGACTACTGATTTAAATCACTTAAAAAAAATCTCTAACTTGGTAAAAAAGTGCCACAAAAGAAAGAGTCCAACAGTAGGGCCCAAAAAGGAGGAGCTCAGCCAWCATCTTTGAACCTCTGAGTTCCTAGTAACTTGGACCCGTTGCTACTGTTTCTTTGGTATTATTAAAATCCAGGACATATGTAACATGTGTACATATCTGGATATGGGATGATATTTTCCTCTCACTTCTAGTGCTTTTTTTTTTTCTTGAGGAATCACAAGAGGGGAAATGGTTATTTTAACACTCCACCTAACAAAAAAAAAATGAAGATGAATCTCTTAAGATTCATGGGAAAAGAAGCTCCTTGCTAGATTTTAAATGGACTCTAAAGAAATATCTAAAAACAACTGCTGTAAATCCTGCATGTGTGAAATGGTATGATATAGGCTGCCTGGAAGGCACCAGCTCCTCTGACATCTGGACCTACTTTTCTCTTTGCCTAGCGAAGGTGCATCAGCGAATGGAAGAGTGGGTTTTGTCCTCTATCAAAATAGCAAATTCTTCAAGTCGAGGATTTATAAGAGCCACGGTAGTTTTTCTAAACAAATTGTCTCCGGCAACATTGATGGTGGAAGAGCCAGCGGTGTTGAACTAGCCTTCAGCCCAAAGGTAACTTCTCACAAGAGCGACCAGAGGTTGACCTAGTCCTGCTGCCAGTGTTCAATATTTGCAGAAAGAGACTCAAGTAGAGAGGCATGTTTGGTATGACCCTTGGTTTCTGGCAGGAAGCAGCTTGGGGAGCTTGAGGGATGCTTACATGACCTCATAAGTCAAAAAGGTAGCGCATTGCGATATCATTGCATAGAAAATAATTTTCAGCTTGGGTATTTAACATCTGGTATTGCCATTTCTGCACTAATAAGTGATGACTTTTGCAAGGAAAACTGTATTTTGTAAAAAATGATAGCTATGCTCAAGCAGCTTTGTTCAAAATCAAGAATGAAAGAAGACAGGTATTAGAAGACAATTTTTATTTTCAGGAGACTCTTGGCAGTTTGGGAAACAACCAAAAGATAACATGAATGCCAGAGACCAAGAAGTTTAGCCACCTGGGGAGCGTTAGTTTTTCATGGTGTCTCTTAATTCCCTCTTTCCTTAAAATAAACATGCATTTTACATTTGCTTGCTCCCCCAGGAATCTATTTCAGATCTTACTGCTTTGTTTTCAGGAAATGTCTTATATGAGTCTCTACTTGCCTATAATAGATGAAATTGGAGCTGAGATATGCTGATTTTTTAGCATGTTTCTCCAGAAAACAATATCTAAATTCTTATAGTGCTTAACTCACTTAACAGAGATATTTAGGCCCAGACACGTGCATGTGACAGACTAATAATCCTCCTGAAGGATCTATGCAATTAAGTGATCTGAGAAATGAGTATCATTTGTATGGCTGTCACAGGAATAAGTCCATAATTAATGTATTTATTCCTATTTTTTAATTGAACTACCTAGTATTGCAGATAATAGGGCTTTCCCTATTTATGTGCACTTCTCATAGTGCTCATTGCTTATTAAAATGCAGTTCTAACTGCGATCACCCACAGAAGTTTATTGTGTAAAATGGAGCATGCAGCTTGACACAACTGTGCTAGCAAAGCTGTGCTGGAGGAGGAGACTGGATGGTTCACAGACTTGGCTCTGGATTTTGCAACTGTTTGCTTTCYAGTTCCAGTTCAGCTCCAGTTGGCAGTAACCTAATGCTATTAGTATCTGAAAACTGCTGTTTGGCTTATGCAGAATTTATTTGGCACTYGTTGGGTGCTGAGTGGACATGCCATAATTATCTGAATAATTCAAAAAGATTGACAACGTGGTTGGCAAGGCTTGAATGAGAAAGGACCTACAATGTAAGCTAGCAAAGCCAAAATATGCCATTGCTAATACTCTTCTTAAACTGCTGGAATTGCCAGAAACTCTTCAGTAGGTTCAGCTCCCCTTTCAGAGGATACCTAGTAGCACATGCTGCTTACTGCTGCACCTCTGTTTAGGCTCCTTCAACCCCGCTTTCTCCTTGTAATCTCAATCCACAGTACAACACATCGGAGCTCCAGCTGCGTGATCATGCCTGCGTCTTTTGGGACTATGCCACCAATGACTGGAGCACCGTAGGCTGCACAAAAGGAAGAGACCAATTCCTGAGATGCAAGTGTAACCACACGACTAACTTTGCTGTCCTAATGGTAGGGCACCGTTCCTTCTAGAACAGCTTATTTTTTTTTCCAATTGTGCTTTGGTTTATGATAGAAGACCTATAGAAGAGCTTTGTTGTGCATTCACAGAGCTAGAAGACGTAGTCATTTAAGACAACCCCTATGACATTTCCTTATGGTTCCCCCATGGCCTTTTAGATGAGCTAGGGGAGAGTTGGCACACTGGGGCAAAACTGGGACATGCGGCAGTTCCCCAGGGTGCTGAAAACTCCCATTTTCTCTGGCACAAATTCTAGCTAAGCCCACCCAACTTTGCAGCCCAGCAGCAGGGAAGCGCAGGCACAGCTCATTCCCCTTGCTCAGCTGTGGTAGCCTCTGGCACTGCACCTAAATTGCTGCAGCTGGTTGTTAAATTAATGTGTGCCTAAACGCCAAAGCTCCCTGAGAGCAGCAATACAGCGACTGGTGCCTGGATTAGCTCAGCTGTCTGGGTGGCACTATCTTATGCAAAGAGAATAGCTCAAAGCACTCAGCACTATTTACTTATATGCTTATAAAAAGTAATTACTCTGTAAATACTAAGTCTACTATCATTTAACTTTATATACTTCCCTCTTATGCATGACTATTTAGGAATGATTGCCTCTCTGATATTTATTTTTCTGTATGTGTGTATTTCTTCTCTACATGAAACCTTYTCTTCCTTTCAGAATATTTCTGTGTTGTCTAAAAGTTTTGGCAATGGCAAACAACAGTCACAACTTTAAAAAAAAATTTCATTTCAACATGCACCTAGAAACACAATTTTAGAAGGAAAGCTGCCTCTGCTCATCTTACAACTGATACAAATTKTTTTCTAGACCTTCCAGATCAAATATAAGTATGCAAAGCCTTTGGAGTACATCTCTTACATTGGTATTGGATTGTCCATGGCTGGTCTGGTCATTACCATGTTGTTTCAGATCTTAACCAGGTAAGGGTGAAGATGTAAAACTATAAATATTTTATGCTGTTATAATATTTTGCTGTTGTATATAAAGTTTTATCTAATTTAAGAGGAAAACAGAGAAAATAGAAATATTATTGATTAGTGAGTAATAAAAAAGAGTTAATCAAGTTATGYAGTTCAAGGACTAAGTGTGGCTTACTGGTTGAAGAAAAGTTAAGCAGTGTCTCAGTCATGCGGCTCCTCTGGATGTGATGTTAACATTTCTGTTACTATTTTCCTCTTTTTTTAACATGAAGAAATTTATATTCTCTGAATATTAGTTGAGAAATGCACACTAAAAGAACGTCAGATTTGAAAAGTGGTGTTACAGGATACCTAAGAGCCCAGTTTGGTAAAAGGCCAAGCCTTTCAGAAGAAACTCTTGATATCAAAAGTACCCCRCAGAAAATACTCCTTTCTGATTACATATGTTAAGGCCTCCTGTGAAGCAGATATTTCTCATCAAGGCCCATAGTCTATTTAACTTTTGCTGCACATACAAGTCCTCAGACCAGGAAAATGAAGAATAACCAGATTTGACAGCAAAAGGCACTTCCATGACTACAGCTCTGCAGGCTGGGCTACCAGTCCCGGGGTGATGAGCTCCTGGCCGGCAGCAAACGTGCAGAGAGCCACCCTCAGGTGCCYCTGCAGACCAAGGGGTGCTCCTGTGCAGGTGTTTTGGTTTTGCCAAGGTAGCTCCAGGGAGTTTCCTCCTGTGAGGCGAGAAGTGGTGATTCAGTGAGTGAAAGTGCTGTTCGAATACTTGGTCAGCATCGCTGTCCTCTTCCCCAGCAGATTTTATTCCTGGCTCGGGAAGATAATGTGTGGCTCGTAAGTACGCTTACTTAGGCTCATAAGCCTGCTTATCTTTGCTGCTCTATGAATATCAATATTTGCTAGTGTTTTCTCCCCGGTAGCACTTTTAGGCTGGACAGTGGACTCCACTGGAGCTTGTGTGTGTGACTCCACAGTCCCACTGCTTTCCAGCAGGTATTCCAGAAATCTGCAAAGCAAAAGGATGACTCCGGAGTGTGCAGGAACCTCAGGGCAGTTGTGCTGGGTCAGCCTGAAGATCCACCTAGGCAGTACAATGAACAGTCTACTAAAAACACATGCCTAGAAAAAGTATGACAACGGGCTTTTTTAATTTATAAAAATACTCCACCATCAGTCTAACCTTTCCTCTATGCTCTGTACCCTAGTATTACCACGTCCCATCAGTTATTTTTTTTCTAGACAATTACCAACAAGCCTGTTATGCTGGTCTCTTCATTTAAGCATAGCCTTTCCAGGTCCTTGTCTTGTTTAGTAGATTTTTAGCATTCAGATAGAAGCAAGTTTAACAGCCATGAGTTTTTGCTGTGCTATTTAAATATTGCTCTGTTTCTCTTCCCCATTTCATAGTTTCTATACTCSGTCCTATACTTCCTTGCCTGAGAGCAATGAGATGGCAATTATAAAATGTTTGTCTACAACAGGTGATTTCAAGGCATCATAATTAAATGCAAATATTTGTCTACATTGTTTGTGTTACCATTTTATTGCAAAATACTTCAAATACAATTATAGCAAGCTTCCTTGACAGACATGCCCGTAATTCGTGATATCACGTGGCTCTCAGATGCTCTTTTGAATGAGGAGCAAAGTCATGCCACAGAGATGTAGCTACTGTGGATGAAGGCAAGCTTCTCGCCTTACTTGCCCTTGTGTAGGTTTGAAGTAATTCCCTCAAGGTCAATGCACGGGCATTTAAATCTGTAGCAGCATCCAGGTTCTGCCTTTCAAATGCATTTAGAAGACAGAGTTTGGAAGTGGAGGGTTATTCTCTTGTGCCTTGAAGAGTATTTGGAAAGAGTTCTCTCATGCTGTTTCAYCTCTCAGCACTGAATAAAATGATGTTAAAAACTACAGGGAGGGAAAAGAAAATGCATCCCAAATGCTGTTGGAAAGAGCACAGTCTCAAAGGTGTTGAATATTTTCTGCAGTAGTTGAATAAGACACTACYGAAAAATACAGTAAATTGGGTAGGAATCTGAAGCATCGTAGAGTTCTGCAGATAGTCACAGCTTTGTTTTTATTCTATATTAAAGATTACATTCCCTAGCTTGTGTCCTTTAATATATAAGTGATCTTCAGAAAATGAGGAAGTATGTTATAACTTCTTCTTTTGCTTTACTTTTCCTCCCCAATGTGTTCCCACAGGAAAACTCGGAAATCCTCAATAACATGGATGTTGGTGAGTCTCTGCTTCTCTATGCTCATTTTCAACATCATCTTCGTCTCGGGAATTGAGAACCGAAATGCCAGGAATTCYGGCAGCGACACCAGCAGTTACGAGCAGCAGCCCCAGCCTCCGGCCACCACGGATAACACTCTGCTCACGTCGGATCTGGCGGATCCCCCCGCGGCGCCCTGGTGTACCGCTGTGGCAGTGCTACTGCATTACTTCTTGCTGGCGACGTTTATGTGGACAGCGCTCAACTCTGCCCAGTTGTATCTACTGCTGCTTAGAGCCATGCAGCCGCTTCCCGGCCGCTTCATTGCAACCATGTCAGTCCTTGGATGGGGTAAGATTTGAAGTCRTTTTCACAGCAATCTCATACCAAAGTGTCAGTTCACAGTACACCCACAGTGGGGGGATGTGTGTAAAAGTGTTATACCAGTAGAGAGCAGTTGTAATCAGCGTCCTGAGCTTGCCACTACGGTTTAATAAGTAATTTCCAGTTACTGCTTACACTGCTGGCAGCACCTGAGTTTGTTGTCACTGTCCTGATGTGGCACAAAAATCAACAGCTTGCTCTTCAGCAACATAGGCCTGTGGCATGCAGGAGAAATATCTCTACAATCACAGTATTCAACAAGCTGTTTCTATCAGCTGAAGGAAAAAAAAATCTGACATGCAGTGATTACATATGGGAAGTAAAATTATTCTCTGAAACTTGTGATCTCAGCCAGGGCCTCGTGTGCATCCAGATGCCAGAAATGACTTACATTATTTGTTACGTTATTTATTAATAAGCAATGAGAAGCAATGAGCACATCCTTAGGACTTTATAGCAATTAGCAGCTACGTTGCAAGCTGAGAGGGAATTACTTGGCAGAATGGAGACATGGGCTCAATAGGTAAGGTAAAATCTCATCTTTTAGTGTCAGAATTAGTGTTAGAATCAATGTTAGAATAGCGTCACTAAGACGCTATTCTATAATATAGAATTTATAATATATATTCTGTATAATACAGTATAGAGGGATATCTACCATTGGGCCACTACGTATTCAACTCTTGTGGTACATTGTTTCTGATGGCATCTACAAAGCCATGTTATATTCTGCTTATTTTATTGTTATGACTTGCATTTGGGTGGGGATACAGGTTATAGCCCATAGCCTATAAAGGATACAGTTCCGCTGTAACTTTTAGGCTTCAGAGTGCACACACAAGCCAGAAAATGCCCAGTAAAAGCTGCTTTGCTAAATGATACTCTGCTCGGTGGTGAAGCTTGCATGATAACCTAGCATTAGATTCTCTGCTGTGCCTTGGGACTCATTGCACATGTGCAAACAGCACATTTCTCATTCACTGCACTTCAGGCTTGGGGAGCACAGCAAATACTGGGCAGTCCATTTATCACCACCCCATTAGGGGGGTGATAAATGGGGCCRAGTCCARTTGGAGGCCTGTGGCCAGTGGTGTCCCCCAGGGGTCAGTACTGGCCCCGGCGCTCTTCAATTTGTTYATCAATGACCTGGACGAGGGCACGGARTGCACCCTKAGCAAGTTTGCAGATGACACCAAGCTGGGTGGAGTGGCCGACACTCCGSAGGGCTGTGCTGCCATCCAGAGGGACCTGGACAGGCTGGAGAGTTGGGCAGAGAGGAAYCTCATGAGGTTCAATAAGGACAAGKGCAGGGTCCTGCACCTGGGGAGGAATAACCCCAGGCAYCAGKACAGATTAGGGGTCGACCTGCTRGAAAGCASCTCCACGGAGAGGGACCKGGGAGTCCTGGTTGACACTAAGTTAACCATGAGTSAGCAGTGTGCCCTCGTGGCCAAGAAGGCCAATGGGATCCTGGCCTGCATCAGGAGGAGTGTGGCCAGCAGGTCAAGGGAGGGGATCCTGCCCCTCTGCTCAGCTCTGGTGAGGCCGCACCTGGAGTACTGTGTTCAGTTCTGGGCACCCCAGTACAAGAGGGACGTGGAGCTTCTGGAGAGGGTCCAGAGAAGGGCAACCAGGATGATTAAGGGAATGGAACATCTCTYGTATGAAGAGAGGCTGAGTGAGCTGGGCCTGTTTTCTCTGGAGAAGAGAGGGCTCAGAGAGGATCTGATTAATGTGTATAAGTTCAGGAAGGGAGAATGCAAAGAGGAAGGGAACAAGCTGTTTTCACTGGTGGCCAGCGATAGGACGAGGGGTGATGGCCATAAGCTGGGGCACAGGAAGTTCTGTCTCCATATGAGGAGGAACTTCTTTCCCGTTAGGGTGACAGAGCAGTGGAACAGGCTGCCCAGGGAGGTTGTGGAGTCTCCTTCTCTGGAGGTCTTCCAAACCCGCCTGGATGCCGCCCTGTGCCACATGCTCTAGGTGTGCCTGGTTGAGCAGGAAGGTTGGACTAGATGATCTCTAGAGGTCCCTTCCAACCTTGAATATTCTGTGATTCTGTGATTCTGTCTGGAAGATGTGAGGTAGGGCTGAAGGAGGGAAAGAGCAGGAGCAGCCCTTGAGGAGCACATTCTTAAATTGCTTTTTTCACTCATCCTAAATGGGTTTTCCCSTGCAGACAGGGGAGCAGGCTTGCATGGTTGTGAGAACTGAGCACAGAAAAGAGCTGGCTCTGTTACCAGAAGTCACCTCTGGAAGCTGTGTTGAAGCTCTCAAAAGACCAAAACTGAACAGGGCACGGACACGAGCTGTCCTCACATAAATGCTGCTCACAATGCCCAGTTCTGCCTTTTCCTCTAGGCTAAGGTGCAGATAAAACACAGGTCTTAATATCTCTGGATTTTAGGACACCAGTAGCTGCTTCGGTAGACGGGGATAAGCTGTATTTATTTAAGTTGCTGATGTCTCTCATTGATTAGGAATCCCTGCTCTGGTTGTTGCAATAACATTTGGAGTTACTTACAGAGAAGGAAAAGCATTAAACTATCGACAGGAAGAATTGTAAGTAAATGAATTATTAGGATGCTTGGTATCCCCTACCTTTTATGCTGACTTATTACTAAGGCCATTCTACATTTATTGCCTTCACTTAAAGAAAAACAAACAAACAAAAAAACCCTCTTCACTCAAACTAACCTCTCACTATAAGAAACTGCAGGTTTTCCTCACTAAGGATTTAGGACACTAAATCACACATTTGTCCTGAATGCTCCTTTAGCTCCCCTGTGGCTTTAAATGGAGATTGGGAGTGCTCTTGACCTAGCTGAAACTCAAGACATATTTAAGTGCATAACTATATTTCAATACGGAAGCTTAGTCATCCCATTTACTCTGAAGCTCTCTGGCCAACATAACTGATATCCCTAATTACTGGATACTTTCAGTACTTTCCCTCCTCTGAGTGCCAGCATCCCAACGCAGGCTATTTTATGCTCACAGTGTACCTTGGTGATAGATTGTGGGTGGTATAGAACAGAGGTGCATTTCATTTGAAATAAATGCAAACACAAGTCCCTTTCCCCCTGGTGGTTACCTTGTGATGTTGATTTAGAGGGATCGCTTTCTGAGATTGTTTATCAATCACACACACAAAAAAAAAAAAAAAAAAAAGGAAGAAGAAGAAAGGATTATTGCAGAGTAACCCCATCTGCCTGAAGCTTTCCCCAATTTTGTTTTGGCCTTTGCCCACCAGGTCATCTCTAATCATTCTTTAGCTCTACTATCATGTATGCACTAAAGGTAACCTTGCACATGCTGGCCAGATGCCTATTTGGGTAGTTATATTCTACCTTATTACATTCCCCTATGCAGTTTGTCTAATAAAACGTTTCACTSTCTACAGAGAAAGGCATGACCAAATGCCCTCAGCTCTCAGGGAACGGTGGCCTTCCAGAGACAGGCTAAGAAGATCTAGAAATCCCTTCAGGATGGGAAATGATTTATTATTTCTGTGTTTTGAATCATTATTCAAGTGCCTGGCAAATCTTTTGAAATAGCCTCTCTCTATATTTAGTTGCTGGCTTGCAGCCCTGGATGARCATCACAATTTTAGCATGGAAAAGCCTATGTTGTGGTCATTCCTACTGCCAGTAGCTCTCATACTCCTGTTTAACTTCATTGTCCTCATCAACATCACAGTGTCCGTGATATGGAGGAATAACAACAATTTGACAAGGTGAGCTGGCACAGAGCTCCTCAGTGCTTTCAGAATAATTCTTCACTCTCTTGCCATGTCACTCTACGTCACTCTCACGTCATCTTCACCAGAAACTGAAATTTTCGATAAATCTTCTGTATGCATGCTTAAAGCATTCAGAAAATTCATCTCACTACTCCAGTGGGTCAGATTGTGTCCATTTGCACTCCAACGCAGCCTTTTGCTGCCTTTTTTTTTTTTTTTTTTTTAATGTTGTAGAGTTGCTCAGCTTAACTTCAATAAAGTTTATCTGCAAGGTAGATCAACATAAGTGAGAGCAGAACTGGGTCTAGTCAAAGGAGGATTATAGATATCTGCACATCTAAACATCAGGCCAGTTCTCTGGATTTAAAGCAGATTTACTTGCTTGATTTCATATATACACTCAGTGTATCGTCACAGACTCTGCAGTGATATTTGTGCTAATTTAGAAGGAAATTGCTTTGTTTTTTTTTAAGTTCTAGTGCTTTGGGTTTTTTTAAGTTCTAGAGCTGATAGAGTGCAGGAAATCTTCGCTTTTTTTTTTTTTTTTCCCTCATTTCTTTTATATATAATTTTCAGGGTTGGAGCAAATCAAAATACCTGACTGTCTTCAGATTCAGAAGAAACTCAATGTTCAGACTCCATTGGCAGCTTGTTCTTCTATTAAAAACTGAAGACATTTCAATTAAGTTTCATTTTCTAAAAACTTATAATAGCTAATACATTCTTTCTTACTGCTCCCTGTTTCCTTGGCAAATCTTATTTTTGAAGTTATTSAAGTAATATATGTTCCAAACACATATTATAAAGACAGATTATTCAGATAAGTCTGGACAGATTTCTCTTTCAGGATTCCCTTTACTGATGGTGCTTCAAACAAATGTAGGAAGCCATATATTCTCACCTCACCTGAACAAAAACTACAGGTTACAGCCTGTACTAAAGGTTACAGCCTTTAATAWATAAAATAATATGTTTAAAGCTCAATACGATAGTAGATGGTATGGAGAAAGATTTTTATTTGTTTGTTCCAGGAATAAAAAGGATTCATTCATGAAAAGGGTGATTGGCACTATCTCTATAGTTGTAATGCTTGGAATCACCTGGACAGTAGGCTACCTGATGCTAATAAACCAAGAGGAAACAAGTCTCACTTTCAGCTATGTGTTCTGCATTTTGAATGGTACTCAGGTAAATATTTCCTTATTCTGAGACTAATAATTGAGATACTGGGAAAAAAAAGTCTAGTTTATTTGTCCTATATCTTGAGAATTTGTCAGAAAATGGTTAAACAAATTTGGAATTTTTGTTCAGGAAGGGGTGCTATCATTCTTGCTTGTCACCCATAAAATATTTCTTAAAGTGTGAATCAATGTGGTATATTTTATTTCAAGGTCACCATTGAAAAGATCTTATTTTTTGGGTGGCTACTCCTATACACATGATACTCAAAGTGATACTCAGAGTGAATATCRGCAAAAAAAACTTCTCCTTCAACTATGGAATTCAGGGAAGTAGGAGCTTCATGGCTTGAGAAAAACTTCCCCTACTCTCAAATCCTAAGGTGTTTACTAACTGCTTAGTCTGCTGAAAACTGAGGCCCTTAACACTCATGGGAATTAGACTGCATGCATGGATTATACCCCATGATATCAGATTGCAATCATGAACAGAGGTAGAACACAGACCCAGCTACCTAAAACCCTGAGCTTCCCCTGCCTCCCATTTTTTTTTTTTTTAACTCAGGATGATTAATGTTTGAAATGGGAATGTAGAGGTGGTATGGAAATTCAGAAGTCCCACTTTTCTGTGTGTGTCTGTCTGAAGTGCTGATAAGGCACCAGTTCATTTACTGCTCAGGGCAGTTCTTACATTTATCCTGCTCAGTGGAGGGCAGCGATGCCCTTCTGAGAGATGCTAGCTAATGCAGTGCAGTGTGCAAGTCACACACCCACAGCGTAGTTCCATGGGATAATTTTTCTATCGAAATTACTGAATGCATTTCAAGGTATTAACTTCATCGTTATGGAAAGCTATGGTTGCAGCTATTTTTCTAGTCAAATCACACTGACCAATTTTTTTTTTTTTTTTTTTTTTTTAATCAGCAAAATACTAACTCTGGGCTTTCATTCACTCCACAGGGACTTCAGATTTGCATTCTGTATACTTTCAGATCGCCAGTCTTCAAGAAAAAGGTTTCTGAAGTGTTTCCCGTTTTCTCAGTGCCAGAGATACCAGTGTATCTGCATTCAAAAATTTACTATGTTTCAAAATCACACCTTGGAAAACATGCAAAGGAAACTTTCAGACCATTCCAAACGCTTTCAGAAGATACTTCCTTGTCTACCTTATCTAACCTTATCTAACTACCTTATCTAACAGTTAGAAACCTGTAAAGATGTGTAATACAAATGTGTATTTTTCAGTGTTTGTCCTACATATGTATCAGAGGCATCTCTAATGTTGAACATGCGGTTCCTACAGCAGAGAGATAGGATTTTATTAGAAGACAACGTCTTAAGCAGGGGCACGTGATAGCAAGACTGTGTGAGCACTTAGCAGCACTGGGAGATCCCTTGATACCATTTGTATTGCAAGCTGCTGAGGCAGGTCTTTGAAAGAAAGTTGAGGACATTGTAGTATTATACAGTGCAGATGTGCAGAAGTTGCTCTGTTTTTACCTGTCTCATTTCTCAGGCTTGTAAAACATGTTTTCCTGGCCTCCTGCAATGTAGTTTTCTCTTTTATAAGAATATTCTGATGTAATTTGAATTCAAATTGTAAATCAGTGAACAGTTCTCRTTCTCTCTGGGTTCAAACTCTGCTTACTACCCACTTCCCTCATATGCTGGCCTTACTATCACCTTCACAAAAGGAAATCTGGATCTTAGAGTTGTCTTTTAAATTCCCCAGCTAAAACTTCTTCAGGACAAATTGTATTGAAATTGAATGAAAACTTTACTATTTATATATGAGAAAATGAAGAAAAAAAAAAAAAGTTAGACTTGAATAAGCAGCCTTGGAAAGGCACTTGCCATAAATGTGTAACTCATCTCAGTCGGCCCAGCATTAGACTGTGTTAGGAAGCACAGTCTTTTTGGAGGTAGGTGTTTTTTTCCAGAATACCAGCTGCAGCACTTCTGTTAGAGCCCTCCTCTGCACGGCCTTCAGGTGAACATTTCTCTGTGTCTTTTGGCTTTATTGGGAGCTAGGGAGAAGAGTCATTTGTCTTTGACATTAGACATTGTTTTTTAAAATTTATGTTATAAATAAATATTAGAAAATCCTGTTTTCAGTCTATCGTTTATTAACGTAATACAGTATAAAGAAGTTGAAAACAGTGTCAAAAGGAGCAGAAGAGTTTCTGGATGTTGAAGTGATGATTAAGAGAAGAAACAGCAGAGCATCATGATGGAAGAAAGTGTTGAGTAGTGGCTTAAGCACAAAGAGCATCGTGATGGAAGAAAGTGTTGAGTAGTGGCTTGAGCACAAAGTGTGAAGACCACGCAGCTCTTCTTGCTTTGTGTCTTCAAGCAAAGCTCTGAGATCCAAGGATCTGGCCAGCGACAGGACGAGGGGTAATGGCCACAAGCTGGAGCACAGGAAGTTCCGTCTCCAGGTGAGGAGGAACCTCTTTACTGTTAGAGTGACAGAGCAGTGGAACAGGCTGCCCAGGGAGGTTGTGGAGTCTCCTTCTCTGGAGGTCTTCCAAACCCGCCTGGATGCCACCCTGTGCCACATGCTGTAGGTGTGCCTGCTTGAGCAGGAAGGTTGGACTAGATGATCTCTAGAGGTCCCTTCCAACCTTAAATATTCTGTGTGATTCTGTGATTCTGTGAAGGTAGTTGGTTCCTGTCTAACAAAAATAAGAATAATTCCACTGACTCATCCCATCCCATTTTCTCCTATACCAGAGAAAAAGCCCAAGAAATGTCAACAGTTAATACTTTAAAAACATTTTTCTTTCCATATGCTGAACAAATATAATTGTATGATGAGCCATCTCCAGTTTCAATAAAACAAGAGCCTCATGTTGAAGTTTAAAGAAAAGTCTATTGGTATATTTTGAAAACTTGTAAGATGCTCCAAATAAAGTCATGGTCTCGATCATATGTGATGGCTAAATGTTTGGGGCTAGTGTCTCTGAATACCCTGGGCACCATAAATGAGACTTTCTGAATGTCTCCATGTCTGTGTTTCCTGAACATCCTGAAGTTTTCCACTTCTTAGGAATTTATATGCTCTCTATTTAGCAGAAGAAAATGTTCTCTAGGTTTCATGAGCATCCAGAAAGAGCAGTTACACTAGACACAAGGCTGAACTTTGTCACCACTGCTTCAGGTAATGGCAGAGAATGTCATTAAAAATTCCAARGGTAATTTTCCATAATTTGCTGTGCTTAATGTTTTTGGACATGTTTGTTTTTTTTTTTTTTTAACCGTGTTTGTGTTTTTATGCAATATCCATATTTCTTTGCAGATTATGTCTGTAATTCTTGCCTTTGAAAATTCCTTTGATTTTACTGAACATGTCTCTAGTTTCTATTTTCTAGTTTTGATGATTTTTTTTTTCACAGAGAAGGAAGTATTGTATAAAGCACGTCTTGCCTAATTTTGAACACATTTTAAATTAAATATCCTATCTTTATAGATCAAAAAGAAGTAAAAAGGGGAGAATTTGTACAATATTGAAACATCTCATCATTCTGTCTCTAAGTATTTGAGATGTTAAAAAGCCTTTACAGTGTACACTAAGCATATCTGACCTAAAAGAAAACATTTTCACCTTCAGAGAAAATGGAAAATATCAGTTTCTGTGGGCTTAATATCAGTTTCTGTGGGCTTTTGCAAATTGAGAGTCCTAATTTCAAGAATGATCCTTCTTCAGGTTACATGCTTGGCACTGTAAGAACAATAGTTCAGCTCTTATCTACACGTGGAACATATTGATCTTAATAATGCAGTGAACTTTGTTATTCTTTGTGATATGTGGACTTCAAGGATCATGGAGTTTCTTGTTAACATATTGAAAGTTCTGCTTGAATAAAGAAGTGGCTTGAAGAAACACTGAATCATCAGTCCAAAGGTATGAATTATGAGATATAGAGCTAACGTAACTGATGTAAAAGTCCTTTTTTCAGACCTATACTTTAGAAAAGGTAATCTAGTTTTTAACTTTAGAAATGCTAAAATGGTTTCTACATATTTTCTAGCATTGTCTACTGATAGGTAGTTGCGGTTATGGCTTTTCATTCTTGTCCCGTCAGAAATGGCAAGGTATGTGAACTTTGCTTTTTCAGGCCACTAAACAAAGTGTCTSTTTGGAGGCTTTTATTGGTTGGTTGAACTGTCTAACACGAGGAGTCAAATAACCACAGTTAAGCTTTACATAGACCTGAATAGGTATTTATGTYGTGTGTATGAACACATGTAGTGATGTATCTAAAAATGAAGAAAGGCAATAGAAATCTCAAATGCCCTGGGCCAAAAATGGGAAATCCAGTTCCGGCAGTTGAGAAGTGCCCTGGAACTTGGTTTTTGAGCCTGAGGAGTTTGGTCACATATGTAACAGTGAAAACTCTGGAAATTGGGAAATTTTGATTTAGATTTGTGGGTTTTCTTGCTAAGTAGACCAACTGCAAAAGCAAAGGTGGAGGGAGGAGGAATAGTGCAGAAAGGCAATGTGAGCAAACACCCATGTCAGGCCCAGGAATACTGGCGGGAGAAGCAGGCAAACAGGCTCTCTCTGTGTGGGTGGCTGAGTGTGGCAAGGGGTGTGTAACTTCACAACTGCTTTTTCATCCCAGTGCCACCTAGTCTACAAGCGTGCAAGCTTGCGTTTTCAAAAAGCTCCTTTTCCACACTATGGCAGTAAAAATAAAATAAAATTAAATTAAAAAAAAAAGAACAAAATCATGTAATGCTGCTCAAGCCCCATCTCTTGTCTTTTGGGAGAAGGTGGAGGCAGCACCTAAGAGTCGTGAGAAAGGGCTTATATACATGCAGCCGTGCACGTCAAACACCTGACAGTCCCTTCTCATTCTGTCATTCCAACCAGCTTAAAATGAAATAGTAATAATAAAATAAGCCGTGAGAAGAGCGAGGTGGCCGACTCGCCCGCCTCCCGCCCCTCACAGCGCCAACGGTCGCCGCCCACCCCAACGGCCGCCGCGCGGCCACGCAGCCCCCGGCGACGCCAAGGCCCCGCCCCTCCGGGCCGCTGACGCGCGCCTCGCGACGCGCCCCGCCCCGCCGCGCATGCGCGCTGCGGCGCTGGCAGGGGCCGCGGGGCCGGTGGCGCGCATGCGGGCGGCTCGCGCAGGCGCGGTCGCCTCTCTGCGCTGCCACGTACGGGCGGCGGCGGCCGTTGCCGGGATCGCCACGCGAGGGGCGGGACGGGACGGGGCGGCCTCCTTCCCTGCCGGGCTCCGTCCCTCCGCCGGCGGGACGGCGGAGAAGCCACAGTAAGAGCGCGGTTCCCATCCCCTTTCCCGCTTGATCCCGTGGGAGTCCGTGGGAATGGCGGCGGGAGGCGGTTGGGGCCGAGTGTCGCGGCCGTCCCCTCCATCCCCGCCCCCCCGCCGGGGCGAGGCGGCCCCTGGCGCAGCGCCTGGGAGACCCCTCGTGTCCCCCCGCCCCGCGAGGCCCCCCGGGGGGCGCCCCCATCCCCCTTGATGCTCCCGGCCTGGCCCCGATCCTTGGGGAGCGGCGGCCTCCCCGATGGCTTTTGCGCCCCACCGCATCGGGCCTGCCCCTTCTGGACCAAAAGATGCTAAATTAGCCCTTTTTCTTCCCCACCACCTCAGCTGTCTGGGGCAAACCCTCCGCCTGTGGGGGCTTGGCTCGCACCTCGTCGCTCTCCTGACAGGGAGCGGAGAGGCTGGCGTGCTGGCTCTGCCCTCGCTTAGGCAGAGCTGCCCTCCGCTGCCTTCGGAAAAGCGTAGTGAAATCCAGAAGRGCTGTGGCGACACCGTTGTGGGAGCAGGCCTGGGACAGGAGCTTGGTGCGTGAGGTGCACAGAAACCTGTGCATTTGAGGGGGGAGAGATCTGTGCCCCTAAAATGCACCAAGGAGCATAGACGGCATCAGTGAGGTTTTTACAAAAAATGAGGGGGTTTAAACGGGAAGGCATTGAGGGAGTTCGGTTTTCCTGAGAGAGTAGGCAGTGATTTATTTTGTTAAAATGCTTGTCAGTCTGCGTTCTGAGCGTCTTCCTTGGGAAACTAAGAGTTTTCTTCAGCCAGTCACATGTTTAGCTGTGTCATACTCACAGTGAGAAAAGACAAAACTTAAAAGTTTTAATGATTAAAACCTTTCACATAATTTTCTGAAATACTGGCAAGCAGATGCAGTGTTTAGAATCTGTCTCTTGAAAGCTGAACATTTCCAAGCAGAATGGAGAACAGTATGACAAAATAAGTGCGCCTAGGTGCTTTTTCTGTTACTCTTTCCATATCCTTTGCTAGATARGAGGTAGCTTTCTGTGAATAACGGAGGCAAATAAGACAATATGCTTGCTGGCTACCTTGCCCAAGGTATGACTGATGCATTCCATCTGTCCATGTGTGAGTCCACCAAAATCTGCCTTGTTAGGAAGCACTGATGAGCTTCTGTTTTTACTGCTGTCACTTTCTGAGTAAATTATCGTCTAACCTCAYAGAAATAAAAGCATTTCTCAAGTTCAATGCACAAGATGCAGGCTAATTGAATTAAACCAGTTTTAGACATGTGATCTGTATCCTGTATTTGTTCATTGCAGTAAATTGCACCGGGAACTGTAGCAAGATCAGGGTGAGAGGGGCCCCATCTCCATGTCTCATTTGTTTCATAAAATGTGAGTGAGGAAACAGTAAAGCCCTCTCATCTCTTCCTTTCACCTACTTAGTATGTCAGAGCAGTCTCACCCTTCTTCGTGATATGAGTGAGTACAGCCCTTTTTATAAGGTGAATGTTACTGCATGCCCAGGCTGAGGGGAGCAGCTGCCAGCCTGTGAAAGTTAGGGAGGGCCTTTCTTCATTCTTCAGAGCTCTCTTGTGCACTGCTTCACTCCTGTAATGCTCATGCCTCTCCATCCCAGTTTACTAAGCTGAATCTAGAGAGCTGAGCTGGTCACATTAGGGACTTCCAGTTTCATGCAGAAAGCTACTTTTTCCTCTAGTTAGCAGTAAATTATCCATAAGCGAGACAGTGAGTGTTGAGATAACTCTCTCTGTCTGTGTGCATGTGTTAGAGAGAGAAAAGAAGGAAAGATGTGAGGAAAAAGAAGTGCAAGCACTGGGTAGAGCAGGTGGGAGGGAGGAACAGAGCTTTGTTTGACATTGGGTTGATCTGTATGCTGAGTGATTATCTTGTAGCCTCGGATGATGAGTGCAAACATAAGAAACAGGTGGACTGCATAAACTCCAAGCAGATCATCACAKCAACTTTCCAGAAGCAACAGATGAATCTTAAAATGAATTGCTGGCAAAGCATGTTTTTAAGTGGCTGTGTATTTCTGGCTCCGGTCCATTCTTTCTGCACCGTTTGGTGTTTCTGGGAGAAAGGGACGTTACTGCTCCTTTGCTGCTGATAGTCTGGCCCTGATGCTGCCTTGAAGCATCAATTAATGTTATAGAAACATCAGCAGTAATCCAGGGAGGGTACTCCAGTGTTTTGATGCTGCTAAATCAGAGTTTAATTCCTCTAACCTAAACTAGCTGGCTAAGATGGAGGGCTGTACTTTAGTACTGGAGAGCCATACTGAGGGAATATTTTAGTAGTGCTGGGGGAGATCATTTTCTTGATGCATGGAAAGGAATGCATGCCCTACTGTAAACAATGCCTACACACAATTCCAAAAAAAAAAAAAAACCCCAAAAAAACCCACCTCTTTTATGATATTAAGACTGTTTGGGATCTAATTATTTCAACTTTGAACTCTGTGATATTCAAGGTATAAATCTGATAGTTGCCTTCTGGATAAAATGAATGAACACAATCTGTAGCCTATGGATAAAATATATTTGTTAAAATATTTTAGGATGAAAGATTGGTATGAACTATGTATCTCCAAAGAAGTCTGAGAGCAAATAAATATTTTCTTTTTCATTTTTCTGACGCAGCTTCCTGGTTTTGGCCACTGGTAGTGCATGGCGGCTTATCCTAACTCTGTCCTGAAGTGAGGTGGAAAATCTGACCAGTAATCCAGCATCAGTAAGAAAACCAAGGTAATGATAAGCATGTTTGTGGAAGGCAGATATGAGAAGACTTGCAGATACTACTTAATTTTTTGATGGCCATTATTTAAATACCCACTGCAAATAGCTGTATTTTCACGACAAAAACAAAGTGCTAATTAGAGTTGATATGCTTGCTGTCTAGACTACTATGTTGCACAACATGAATAATGTATTAACGATAATATGAACTTCACTGTGACTGCTTCATCAGAGTGTCTCACTGGCAACRTGACTATGTTAATTACAGCTCCCTTTTTCTGCAGTTGAATTGCATTTGTTTGTATTCCCTTACTGTTTTGTATGATTAGAAAAACAAGTTTTGCAGTTTTGCTCAATGGTTGTTTGATTTTTTTATTTGGTTAATTGTTTTTTTCAGGGGAGGGGGAGGAAAGTCGTAGGACCAAATGCATGGATTTGCATGAAATGTTTGTTCACTTGTATATTAAGTTAATTACAAGAAAAATGAAATTGAGTTGCAGTCTAGAACATGTATTCTAGTGTGCCTTTCTAGTGCATTACATCATTGTTGAAACAGTAGACCTAAATATATAGAGGAGCATCGAGAGAGAGCGTGTTGAAAGCTTTTAGCTGAGTAACTTGTCTAGAGAAATATGATAGGGGAAAAGCCACTTGAACTATTTTAAAAATTGACTGCCCAAAGTTCACTTTCTTCACAGAGCAACATGTTAAAACATCCCTAAAGGTAAGGGAGAAATATCTCCATATATGTACCAGGAATTGCTTTTTGGTGGTTGTTTGTTTGTTTTCCAACAAGAAAAGACAACATGCTTGCCTGTGTACCTTTCTGGAAATTCCATTTTTGATATGTAAGGCTTCCTGCCTCTAAGCTCTTCAACTTGTACTTCAGCTTGTTAAGGTGCCTGCTTCTTTAATTTCTCTTCATTGCAGTTTCATTGTCTTGGCACTAGATAACTTCTCCTTTTATTTGTAAATAATAAACTTTTGTGTTTTTAACATGGCACAAAGTGGCAATCCTTTAATTGTCCGATATGAAGTATGAAGGGTGTGACTCTAAAGTGTGTCTCATGTGAATCTTGGGTGGAAGATGATTGTGCATCTCTAAATTGTCTGTCAGAGAGTGACCAACTGCCCCAACCTGGTATTTTGCATAAAGCTTTTGTGGCCCAGAACCACAAGACACATGTGACGTCCTGTGGGCAGCTAGAGAAAGATGTTTTCTGGACACGAAAGGGTTTACAGTGCTGTCTATAGCAGCCTCTGGATGACTGACTTCCTCTCATAGTCTGATTAATCTTGATTTGGGAAACTATCTCAAGCAACTTGAGTCCTGCTACAGAGCTTTGTCTAGATTATAACTTTTGATTAGGACCATACTGTGCTGCTCAGGAACCTTCTGTATGATGTACTGAATTTTTCAGTAGGGTTAGGAGCCATAACTTGAAAAATAAAAGTGAAAATGTTGTGTGGTCTAATGATAGTTCTTTTAAATATAAAGTCTTGGTTAAAATACTAAAAAAACAAAACAAAAACAAACAAACAAAAAAAAAACTTGCTGTCATGCTTCCTGGAGAGAAACTTCCAATAATTTCTGACCGTGCGTATAACAAAACTCAATGCTCAGTTCTGTTTTTCCCCCACTCCTTTTCATAGAATCCCTAAGGTTGGAAGGGACCTTTAGAGATAATCTAGTCTAACTCCCCTGCACACGCAGGATCACCTAGAGCAGAATCACAGAATCTTCAAGGTTGGAAGGGATCTCTAGAGATCATCTAGTCCAACCTTCCTGTCCCAGCAGGGACACCTAGAGCATGTGGCACCAGATGGGTGGCATCCAGGCGGGTTTTGAAGACCTCCAGAGGAGACTCCACAGCCTCCCTGGGCAGCCTGCTCCAGGGCTCTGTCCCACTCACACTGAACAAGTTCCTCCTCACATGGGGATGGAACTGCCTGTGTTGCAACTTTTGCAACCCATTACCCCTTGTCATTTCACTGGCCACCGCTGAGAAGAGCTTGGCCTCTTCCTCCCTACGTTCCCCCTTCATGAACTTATTACGTGTTAATCAGATTCCCTCTCAGCCTTCTCCAAGCTTAACTGGCCCAACTCACTCAGTCTCTCTTTTGCTTGTGTCTGAAATGGTGCCTGTTTCAATTTGCCTCCTGTAGTAAAACTACCTTACTGCTTATAATCTTTAAGGTTTTTAAGGTTTTTNNNNAAAAAAAAAAAAAAAAAAAAAAAAAAAAAAAAAGCTTGTTCCTGGATATTGCAATTATGGGAGATGTAAAAATGATCTAATGGCTAATAATGTCTATTGTTGTGAGGCAGTGCTTTTGCTGCACTGCGTTTTCCTAGAGAAAGACATACGTGTGCACTTCCACAGCATATACTCAGAAATATAACTTCCTATATAACTTTTTTCCATGACAGTTTATAGGTCAATATTTTTCCAAAAATGGAGAAAAGTTATTAAAAACCACATTTAAAAGCTTTGTAACTTTCAAAGGTCTTCTGATTTAAATTCTGAGCAGCAAGCATGATCAGAACTGTTCATTTTGAGTGCCTAATCTTGCAGGGTTCTGCTTTGCCCATGAGCTTATRTATGTCCAAGAAAGCTTCCCTGGGGACTTGCTGTTGTGAAAGATATTTTAATAATTAGCAGTCCAGTGTCCTAGAATGTTCTTAATGTTTTGTTAACAGGTGTCCAGACTTCAGGAGGCCACCATGAATGGGCAGCTGGACTTAAGTGGAAAGCTGATCATCAAAGCTCAGCTTGGTGAAGATATCAGGAGGATTCCTATCCATAATGAGGACATCACCTATGATGAGTTAGTACTAATGATGCAAAGAGTATTTAGAGGGAAACTTCTGAGCAATGATGAAGTCACAATAAAATATAAAGATGAAGGTAAGATTTAATTACTTGTTTTGTTYTGAGATGATTTTCCTAAGGACAAAAACAAACAAACAAAAATCTCTTAAATTGTCTAAAATGCCATTAGTGGATGAAAACCATTTGCAAGATTGAGTCAGTAAATAGAAGCTGTATTTCTTGTGACCTTCCTTGTAGCGCAACAACTCTGAGATATCGGCTACCTGATAGTTCACTTTTCATTGTTGCAGAAAGCTGATACCATCGCAGGTTTCTCGCAGTGGGACTGGAGGCAAGAAGTATGTTAATAAGATGCTTTAACAGACGCTCTTAATTGAAAAGGTTACTTTTGTAATAAAAATTCTTGATCACTTTTTCCTTCATCAGTGATGAACAAATATTTAACCTAAAGTATTTATTAAAAATATTTTTTTCCCTTGTGTGGCTTGAATATTTTGGAAATTGGTTATAAATAACTTATGTTTCAAAGAAAGTCTCGATCAGAATTGCTAAACAAGTGCAATTTCTAGAAGGAATCTTTGGCAGACTGAGTAAGAAAGGCCTTCTTTGAGATGTGTGGAGTGAGACTGAGGGAGTGTCAGTGCGGGGGGATGGAAAAAGTACTTAATCTGAAGGGAGACTGAGCTTTGTTCTTGCTGCTGTCATCTCAAGTTTGTGATTGTCGAGCCTGAGTATGAGATTTTCTGCTTAATACTTGTACAAAATATCATGACTTTGTTAAATCTTCATAAAACTTATAATCCTTGAGTCTAATATCCCCCCCTGTTTACCAAAGTGAAGGAAAACCTTTTTATTTTTTGGCAAAAATGATTAGGCAAAAGAATTGAGTACAAACCCAGAGTCTTACAGTGGTAAAAAGGGGTTATTTCTACAAACTTGAAAATAATCAGGAAGAATCGCCACAATCTGTTCTCTTTCAGTGACTAAGGCAATAATGAGTACAAAAGAAAAATAAATGATTGCTTTATATGAACACTTGAAAATATTGGGAAATAGTAAGTAGATAAATTTAATAGCAAGGGAAGTCTATCTTGCCAAAGCCATGGATAACAAGGATAATTCCAAATATCGTAGAGAGAATTYTAATAACATTATAAAAAATGGGAATGCGCCATGATACCGAATTAATGGTAAAATGCTTCTTACTCTATTGGAAGTCACTTGCCTTTACTAAAGGTAGACAACTGTAATTGGCAGAGCAGGAAATCTGTAGTGTACCAGGAAATCTTCAGTGAGGGCTAAAGTTATGGTGCTTGAAAAACAAGGTAAACTTTCAAAATAGCATGAGATGTAAATGAACTGAAAGGAACTGTCTTCTAAGCTTCAACAGAAATGTATGAATCTTAGTGGACTAAAAGGTGTTTGGTGTTTTGCATAGCCTTTTGTGTCTTAAGGCGTCCCAAAGAGCTCCTATATAGTTCCTGTGACTGAGGGCAATGTGCAGATTCAGTAAGTCATCTAGTCCCTGAAATCTGCTACATGAAGCCTCAACACTTAGTCGTTTATTTCCATTTCTTTTATTCAATTTATTAGTTTATTTAGTTCCGTGATTGAGAGAAAAGTTCTATTCTGACAACTTTAACATCTTCATGTCCTCTTATTCTTGCTCGTGTGTTAAGGCAGGGATAATTTTACTGTTAATTTTCCCACAGGTACTTTACTATTATTAAAATGTATTAAAATATTTTTAAAATATGTTAATCTTTTAAAAAACAGTTAAAATAATGTATTATTATTAAAAACAGTCTTTCAGGTCATTGGTCAGAATATAGATTGAGAAAGTGCTCTAGTCACATAACTTTTTGCTGTCTGTCCCTGTGAGCGTATGTGTGTTGCTTTCAAAAATTAAATAGAGGTCTGCTTGTGCCAACTACTGTCTTGATTCTTCTGTCTGTTTTAAGAAGTTTTAGAAACTACTCAGAATGCGCATATAGCTTTTAAGTTTTTTATATATGTATATGTTTATATATGTGTATATATATCCCTCTGTGCATAATTACTGTGCATTCACATGTTAAAAACGCTTTCTTTTGTGATGTGCACAAGTCTAACTTGTTGCTTTGTCTCGAGTTGTTTTGGGAAGGAGAAAAAAAAAGGTATTTCTTAGTGTTCTTTATTCTGTAAATCAGAAATAAGGATAGAAACCTTAATGACAGGGGAAGAAAAAACTCTTTTCTTACTCTGGTTTTAATTTTTTCTTTTTTAATGTATAAAAAATACAGTACCATTTTTCAGTAGTGCTAATCGGTAACCTTTTATTTTTCTACTAGCTTCAGAATCAAATAGGGAGTGCTATTTTTAGTAATGAAGTAAGCTGTCTAYCCTAGAATGGTGTTTAGTAGTTATTAAGCTTTGCTTTTAACATATATTTTTTCACATTCTTTACAGATGGAGATCTTATAACAATTTTTGATAGCTCGGATCTTTCCTTTGCAATTCAATGCAGTAGGATACTTAAGCTGACTTTATTTGGTAAGGTTATATTGATATATTTATATATATACATATGTTATATATATTTTTTTCCTTTGTATCAAAATTCTGCTGGTGGTCCTCACTGAATATTTTAAATAACTTT